TGTACTAAATGGATAAAATTACTTACCTGAATTCCAGCGTGTGCGCGTCCCAAATCGCAGCTTCCGCCGCACTTCCGAATTGATATCAGGCTCCAAAAATTTTTCTGATGCAAATTGTAACGACAAGGGCGCAACTCCATCACATGGTGAATTGTATCCACTGTCACTTGGCAGGACGAGCATCTAGGAGAGAAAGGTAAAACTATGAGTGCTGGACTACTCGATACAGAGTATAAATCAAGCGAGAGATTATTTTGAGCGATCTGTGCATGACTATAAGGCATGAGATTTGCAAGCGTGAAAAAGTTGAGCAAATTGGATGCAGCTGGAAGCAGTAAGCAGCTGGTAGCTTTTGCCTCCATTGGATTGCAGTGGCTCTTCCCACTAAGCCGCGTCCCACGCCTGTCCGCCCCTTTACCTCTATCGGAGAGAGCGCCTTGGCAACGAGAATCGCAGCTCATTTAGAGTATGCTACCGTGCAGCTGTGACTATTTTTAAGTAAATTCGTGAACGTTATTTTGCGTGAAGCCAGAAAACTTTTCCAATTTATGAAAAGGACGTGAGCTTATTCAGTACTATGTTCCAATGGTCTCCTTTCTAGCCTCATTTTCGCAGATTCGTGGCAAAGACGGAAGTACATAGCTTGCGTATGCCAATTATGGTACTACAATCGAGACATCCGCATAAGAGGACGAATTATCTCTTATATAGAGAGACCGAGAAAATTATTATATTGCGTCGCTTTTCCACGGCGCCTCGGTAACCTTCGGCGCTCCTTTGTCTGACACAATATTATGAATGCACTGAGTGTTTCTCGAACCGAGGTGAGAGCTGTATGAGGAAGAAGAGTGTGATTAGCAAGGCCAATGTAATGATTAAATATAGTAGATTTTCTATAGCATAGTTCGAATAGGTATTCAACGCTTCGACCTTATTCTCACAGTCAACCATACCTCTAAAGATAACTATCTCGAATGCCTGGCATATACTGTTCACTTTGCACTTGTTACTTGTAAGGTCAATCATAATTTAATTTGAAACTGATGATTACCATAGTGACGCCTTTTTTCTAATTTACGCACATCTTATTGTAATCAGATAAGCAAAGCAGTCTATCTTGAAGCTCAGTAAACTGAAATAAATAATTAAATTCTTCACCGCGAGTCACCAGCACCTGTGTGAAACGTAAATAAGCAAAAATGAGCCCTTGATCCCGAGGGGATCGTTGAGTTTTAGCTGTTTCAGCACAGAATCGGCAACTTCTTGCAACACTAATTCGTTGATCGATGGTTATGCGATTTGCATTGAAGCTGGAGGGGAATCGTAATGAACAACAAGCTCTTGAATAACTTTCTGTCATTCTATGCATTATTTTGCAGTTGATGGAAAGCTCGTTTGAACTTTGTGAGTAACTGCAACTGCGTTTGCTTAAGACACTACTACCAAAGCAAGGTGCTGGAGTATGCTGTGGCACGCAAAGTCGGCTTCCTTTACGAGCGATAGCTTAATTATTCACACCTCATTGGTAGCTCTTTGCCACGCGGCTATTCAGGATTGCGCCATTTCTCGTTGATCCAGTATGCAAATTGGTTCAAGTGGTAGGTGAGAATTCCTACAGTGAGACAGTATAAGTCGCAGAAATCTGATTGTAGGAAAGGAGGGGTAAAAATCCCTGCGGTAATTCTTTGAAGATGTTACTCAAATCTTTACAGAATACTTGGTGAACGTGGCCTTTTGAAATGAAACGTACAACATTGAAAGCATCTTGAAGCGCTAAATCCAAATCTAATTTGGCTATTTGCTGTGCTGCGCTTTTCGGCGATAGGTTATAAACATTTCTTGCTAAAAAGATTCACCAATACAGTTAGAATGTCTACTAAGGCAGATAAAGGAGCGTCCAGATAAAGCTTAACGTTATGCCTACGAAATTATTTCCGGTATGATTCTGGAAAGCCAAGATACTAACGATTCTGACTTTCATTTTCATTTCATTTTTCATTTTCATTCATACGCTCGAGGCGTTCCAAATCAAAAACAATAAAGTGTTAGTCATACATGGAACACAACAGCAACAAATAACAAATCACCACGTCGTTTTAAGCCCAGTCTAAACGACTTACTAAGAAAAGTAATGTAGTAATAATGTGATGATAAGCTTGCATGACTTGTATCTCGGCTGCACGTTATCTTGTGCTAGCATAGACTCTATGGAGAAGTACCCATGCCCCCTCGTTTGCCAGCAAGGAACGATCTTTATATAATATATATTGACTTTATTTAATTTATATCGACTTATAAGATTTCGTGTTAATAAGGAAAAAAGTCCTCAACTTCGTTTAGAGAGTCGCACAGCAAATAATGAACATAGAATCGGATTCAACGTTTCAAGGTGCATCTACCAGGGCTCGGCACGAGGTGGCTAGATGAAAATGGAAAAAACGAAGTCCCCCTTGACTTTTGGGAATTTTTACGAAGTCCCCTTTGACCCTCAACCAAATTTGCCCTAAAAACCTGAAAAATTCCCCAAAAAACGAAACGTCGACTAAAAAAATCGTCGCAAGTCCGTCTCTCTTCGGTCACAAAAACGAAACCCCCTTTGCTTTTCGTCCCAAAAACGATATCCAGCTTGCTTGTAAGCCACCTGTGCCGAGCCCTGGCATCTGTTGGTATACATTTTATTGCAAAGGCCAGGTCACAATTGCCCTTCCCTTATAAACAAATTGTTATAAAGCCAGTACGGTTTTTGCACCATTTACTGGTAAGGAATTACTAGCCATATTGAATTGCTTTTACATGACTGTGACCACGGATTTCAGGGCTGCCCGAGCGTCCAGAGATGACACTCTTGTGTTCGGGCTTGAAAGGTGAGTTATGAGCTATTATTCTCTTTGAAGCAGTATAGACAAAGGCAGTTGCTCGTACCAAGATTTTCACACACCATGAGGGAGAAGTACTAAAACCTTTGAACAAAATTAGTTTGGTAGCGTCGTGCGCATAACTCAAGGGTCTGCCATAAGGTCATTGTTATATACAGCTCACACTCATTCATTTACTTTGTCATAAACTCCGTGACCTCTTCTCAAATAGCTGCTAATTTGTCGACAGCTCTTGCATGCATGGCACTATTGAATCAGCTAGCAACTATCCAAGTGACGCAACACCTATCAGCTTCTCATGGCGATACTGTGAGCGAAATTACGAAACGCTAAATTGGTCTAGGTGGTTTCATGAAGCAATCTCCCGAGATAAAGCGGTATATTCTTCTGTACTCTTCGGAATGCGATATGATAGTATAATTTCATACAACCATGCTGAGTCAACAATTATGTACTATGTGCTCATAACTGACTTCTTTTGGCAGTATACAATCCCTTCTACAAAATCAAGTCGGTAACGTTCACGTTTCAGATTATACTGTGATTAGCCTTTTGATGAGAGCATCCTCTTTGCTAAGACTAGATAAAAGTGGCACGTAATTTTCTCAAAACGTGCGCGGTAGATGAAAACAAAGGATCGCGCGAAATAAAACACTTTCAAAAAGTACTTTCATAATTTCTGTCAGTGAAAAGTTCCAAAACTGCCGCCATCACTGATCAACGTTATGATACTATAATTTTGCTTTGAGCACTTCAATGTCTTTCTTCTCAGCCGTCAAGCAGTAAAATTCCACGAACTGCTGAGGTGAAAGAGACGAGGCTACTGAAAAAATTTTTTTATGTTTCCATGAGAGTCACGCGCACCTGAAAGATTCGACATTTGGTGATTTAACACGATGAGAAAGATAATCTGACAAGAGGCACACAAAATTGCAAGCAAGATTAGACAAGTAGTTATTGAAAAATCTCCTTGCTTGGCCGAAACGATTACTTGCAAAATTTCTACCAAGAAATACTGCCTAAACGATCATGACTATCACTATACATATTTTTGAGAGAAGTGAAAAATTTTTGCTGTTTCATGTGCTTTCAATATCCGGATTTTCTGCCTAAGTTTATGACAAAGGTCCCAGTTGTGAATTATCCATACCGAATTACGTCGACTCAATTGACATTTGAGTGAGCCGGCATAGGTGGCAGTTACATATAAATTATTTCGAAGGTTTTCATATGCGTCGAATTGCACTGGTAAACGTTGTACTACAAGGGATTCTGATTTGTATCGAGAATGGATCGCAAGGTTTTTGAAATTGCTTATTGGGTCATAAAATTCTGCAAATGTGTCGTTCGCACTCGTAAATGATCGAAAACTTTCTAAATTTTTGAATTCATAGCCTTACAAAGAATTTTTTTTGGGGGGGAGGGGGGGGGGGGGGGGGAGTAGCTGCTGCCAGCTTTTGGTGGGTACCAAGTGATTTGGGGTAGACGAGGTTGTGGAATATAGATTTATTCGCACGGGCGTAGATTAGTCGTGAAGAAGAGTCTATAATACAGTCGGGGGCTCCTTATATACATGGATACAAGGCGGAGCTTGCCCGGGTACAAAGTACAACGTAGAAGAGGTACATGGCTTAAAAGGAGTTGCCGCCGTTCGGCCACACTCCTGGTGCACAGGTGACAATCATTCTTGAGTGATTAGATACTCAAGAATGGATGGCGTACAATTGAGCCTATGGGGATCCCATAGGCGATATGGAAAAATGAATTGATTAGGTTGATGTTATGGAAATCATCAACATGGCAAAGGGAGAGGTTTCGAGAGCTTTCCATCGTTGGGCATCTGAGCGCAAATACATCGTCGTTGTCGACCAAGGCAGTTTCCGTTTTAGTGGTGTTGACGGCTTGCAAAAATACAGAACTCAGTAGCGGAATCGTTGGCGTTGTCACGAATTCCAGTGTAAGGTTAGCATCCTTTTGAGTGTGAGTAGTCTGCGCGGTGATTGTGGCGATATTCATTTCTCTTCGTCCATTAACACTTGTGTAAGTGTATTTGATGATTGCCGATTCATCCCAAGTCGGGCAGTGAAACACTTGGTAAATTGTTTCACTTTGCAGTTTCCCATATCAGCGGGAGAAGAGACATCCAGGTAGAGGTGGAAGGCAACCACATCCGATGCTTCCACATGACGAGGTGCACCTTGAGTATCCAGGAAATTCATAGGTGTTGTGAAGCTCAGGTATGTAGGATCGCTGGCTAGTGTGAGCACATGTGTTGGATGAACATGATCCAGAAAAATGGCATCGCTTTGCTGACTCGGTCACTATCTCGGCATCTCTGGTGTAGAACAAGACTACGGGATTGCATTGGAGTACGACGTGTTGGAGTTGTATCCCCATGCTGCCAACTGTCTTGTTATCATGTTGAATCCTGAAGCAAGCTTGAGGTCGGTGCTCGCTTAAGGTTATCCTGTTTTCGATAGTGTAGCGACAGTTGAGCGTGTTATTGATCCTCATGCAAATGGTGTTCCTCGACGTGAGTGTGTGAGTGTACTGGCATGAATTGACTCCTGCGATGAGACATGTTGCAATAGCTACAAATGTGATCATCTTTGATTGGATTGGTAGAGATCGGGATTGTTTTCCTAGAAGCTCGGAAAGTCGATCATTCGCAGGAGCGACAGGATTTTCCGTTGGCATCTCGTTCTCGCTAGTTCGGCACAAAAGGCGTTTTCCTTGAAGTCCAGTGTAGCAAATGAACCAGATGAGCAGCATCATAAGGTATGCGCAAACTGCTGTGATTGCTACCGCGGTGTTGGGGACGCAGTGTGGATTCCGAAGCAAGTCTGCACAAATTGTGCATTTGATCATGTCGCAAATGTCTCTTGGTGGGCAGATAATGGTGTCGGAGTACTGTGTTGCTCCGATCATGGTGCGCCATTGAACTCGATGTTCTGTTGTGCGGTACTTCGGCGGAAGCGCTACTTCGTTCATTCCTTTCTTCGTCGAGATTTGCAGACAGTCCTTATAATTGAGACATAATTGTGACTCAGATTCCGAAGTCGTATTGACTTTCACTCCATGTTCAGAGCAGGATAGCACATTTGCGGATGCCGTATCAATGAGAAGAAGAGCTGTCAAGCATATTGTTATCATCACTGACTTGCTGATTTGTGAAGCGCTTCTCTTTATGGTGGAGGAATTAGAAGATGCGTAGTCCACAGGTTTTTTCGCAGCTCTCTGTGGTTGCTTGCGAGGTTCAGGTGCAGTTGTCGGTTTCTTCCTGAGCGCCTTTTTAACCTTGGCCACTATTCCTCCTTTTTGTGGCGTTGGATCCTGTCTCTCATCTTCGTGTTCTATCGTTGAACGAATTTCTAGGGGGACTATGCGATTGAGAGGTCTCTGAATCTCTCTTCCAGATGTGGTTCTCAGGATTGCGCTTCTGATTTCTCCATCTTTGCTTAGTACGAGTTGCGTTATAACAGCCATGGGCCAGTGTCCTCGGTTCAATTGTGAGTCTTCGTCAAGCAGTACGACGTCTCCAACTTCTGGTTTGCGATTTGTGGTTCTTCCATTCTTGAAAACATGGTGACGGTCGCGAAGTTCAAGGAGGTAGTCGTGTTTCCAAATACTCCAGAACTTTTTCGTTATCTTCTCGGTTTCCAGAAGAGCTGTTTTGGCTTCCTTTTGTGATGAGAGTTCTGGACTTATCCGGTAATCTGGATCCTGTACATCATCGTCGGCGGGTATAAGTTGAGTGCTTCCGAGCCGAACGTCCTTATAGATGAAATCTACTGGTCTCAAGACCTGGCAAGAAGGGTCGTCTTCGCCTATGTGAGTCAATGGTCTTGAGTTGACGATGCTTTCGATTTCACATAACGACGTGTGAAGAAGTTCATCTGTTAATTTCCGTCGTCCGATAGTCTTCTGCATTGCTCTTTTCACTAGTCCAACCATTCTTTCCCAAACTCCTCCCATCCATGGTGAAGCTGGAGGAATGAAGAACCAGCTGATGCGATGTTCGGCGAGGAATAGTGATAAGTGGTCGGTATCATCATTACTGACGTTGTTGCTGAGTATCACTTCGCTGAGGCGGAAGTTGGTTCCATTGTCGCTAATGATCTTTTCCGGTACTCCTCGTCGTGCGATGAATCTCTTGAATGTGAGAAGAAAGCTTTTTGCAGAGAGGTCTGTAGCCACTTCCAGGTGTATCAGCCGAGTGACTAAGCATGTGTATAGTGCTACGTAGCGCTTCTCATCTTGTCCATTTGGCACCTTGATAAGTATCGGTCCCATATAGTCGACTCCCGTGTAGGCGAATGGTTTTGCTTGAGTCACTCTTTCTCGTGGAAGAGGGCCCATATCTGGATACGTGAAGGGTGACGAATTGAATTTCTTGCAAGTAGTGCAACTTCGCAGAACTTTCTTGCAAAGCACTCTGTCTCTCGGTATCCAGAATCGTTGTCGAAGCTCGCACAAAAGCTGGTTGCTTCCGCAGTGAGCCAAGTGTCGATGGGTGTTTTCGGCGATCCTAAGTCCCAGTAAACTTTGTTTGGGTATGTACATGGGATTGGCTATGTTTGATTGGGTTTGAGCATGTTGTATGCGTCCGCACCTTCGTAGGATTCCTCCTCCGTCGTATACAGTTTTGAACTGCTTGTTTTTAGAGACCAGAGCTGTCCCGTAGATCCGCTGTTCTTGCAAGACTATATGTTTTTCAGCGAAAATAAGCTCAGCTGCGTTCGGTAATCGTGATGTCCCTTGGTCTTCTTCTGCCATTTTGAAGCGGCTATTCTTGCTTGTCATGCGGATGAAACGCAGGCAGTATGCCACAACTCGCTTCAATTTGGGGTAGCTGCTTATCGTAGCGACTGGCCAATCAGAATTGCTTTTGCTAAGGTCTTCTGTAGTTTGATGAGTGAGCATTTCGCACTCGTCATCGACACTGTCTTTGACATCACTGATGGAACGTACTGGCCATTCTTTATTTGGGTGATTGAGCCAACTTGGTCCTTTCCACCATCTGCAAGCTGTGAAGTCTTGCTTGTTGATTCCTCTTGCTGCGCAATCCGCTGCATTTTCTTCTGTTGGGACGTGGAAGAAGTTGAGTTTAGCTGTTTCTCTGATCCTTTCTGCGGCGAAGCTGATTTTTTGAACCAGTGTGGTTACAATCGGTGGAAGCTTTTTGCTGCTAGCTATCCATGATAGTGCGATCGTTGAGTCGCTGAAGAGGTTGACTTCTGAAAAGTTTATTCCGCATTTTGACATGGTTGTTTCGGCTACAGATAGTCCGAGAAATATTGACAACAGTTCTAGTCTTGGAATAGTTTGTTCCTTCTTTATGGGCGCCACTTTCGCTTTTGCTGTAAAGAGTGATGTGCTCTTCATACCATTCTTCGCTGATGTAGTCGTATAAAGACAGAGCAAGCGTAAGCTCGTTTGGAACTGTCAACAAATATAGAAAGCATATATTTGGCCTCGGGAGTCTTGTTAAGCACTGTGCGTGGTATGGCTTTCTTGAATCCGACTATGTCATCCTGAATGGTCTTCCATCTTTGAATTTGCTCCTCAGGAAGAATGGTGTCTTATCCTAACTTCAGCTTATGTATGTCCTGTAGGAATATCTTTGCCGGTATCATCAGTGGTGTGAGCAGTCCGAGTGGGTCGAAGCAGAATCCGTTTATTTGGCTAAGAACAGATCTTTTGGTGATCTTGACTTGTTCTTTGTCTGCACATTCCATGACCAAGGTGTCATCGTCAGCTTTCCACTTGATTCCGAGCACTTTGAGTTCGCGATTTTTTGCTCTATCCACGTCCTTGATTTGTGCGTTCACTGCAGCAGAATCTGACAAGTAATCGCGAAGATTCATGCCGATGGAAGAGAACACTTGTTTTAAAGAATTGTATTTCTGGATCAGTTCTTGCGGATTGTCGCCTTCTAGTAGCACATTGTCGACATACGGAGATTTGGATAGTTCCTTTCCTATTGGGGTGCCCTTCTCTTCGATGTGCTTGAGTATGGACTGATTCAAGATGGCTGGGCTTGCATTTATTCCAAAAGGTACCCTGCAGAAGCGATAGTATTTGACGTTGTCGCCTTCGGGTGGTGCATTCAGGTCCTTAATCCACAGAAATCTTGTCGCATCTCGATGGTTTTCGGGAAGACGTATTTGTAGAAAAGCCTTTTGGATATCGGCCACCATTGCATGTTTGTAGGTGCGGAACAGCAGTAGAACTTCATGGATCAGGGGTGTGAGAGCATGTCCTTCAAATATGACGTCATTGAGACTCAGCTCGTTTCTTCCGTGAGATGAAGCATCGAAGACAATTCGAAGTTCGGTTGTCTTTCCAGGTGTCCAGACATGTCTATGTGGAAGGTAAAAGGAAGTTACTCCAGTTGGTTGTGAGGTACATTCCTCAATGATTCCTTCCCTGGTGTAGTCTTCGATCGTCGTGTTGTAAATTTGAAGCTTTTTTGCATCACCTCGGAGCGTTCGAAGGAGTGCTTGTAGCCGGCGAAAGGCAATGTTGAAGTTGTCTTTGAGTTTGCTAACGTTTTCATTGAAGGGGAATCCTGCTGTGATTGTGCCTTCTTTGATGATGATTGTTCTCATGTAGTCATCCATGAACTTGATTATGGATGCTTCATCGGGAACGCTTTCGGTCTTCAAACCAAGAGATTCGAGCTCATAGAAGTGTTTGATGTCCTGTTTGTAGTCTTCTCTTGGTGAAACTGTTGGAGTTGCAACCACTAGTGAGCTTCCATAGACTTCAGTAGTGCTTGCTGTTGCTGTGACCAAGCTTGTTCCTGATATGGTATAACCAAAGATGGTAGGGGTGAGGATTAATCCTGAAGGGAGTGTCAGTACTGGCGTGCTGTGATCTATGACCGTGTTGAGGATGTCCTGGCCAATGAGAATATCAGGCGACACGCTAGTTCTTGCGAGCGTTTGCTGTGCTATGTCCAGTTTTTTATTTGAGATGAACTGAAGATCTGCGTCAATGAGATGTGCCGTGTCCAAACTGGTGGTGAGTTTTTGCTTCGTGTGTACGGCCATCTTCTTCAGTTTGTTAGGACCTCGCAAACTTTTCAAGGTGATCAGCACCTCGTGGGAGTCGAAGACTTCTTGCAGTTCACCCATTCCGGATGTGGTGAATGACGTTGTTCGGACGATCGGAAGCTTATATGTCTCGCTAAGGTTTGACTTGATGAAACTTCTTTGTGCTCCTGAGTCCAGTAGTACTGTAATAGGTTGGTAGTCCCATTGTTCTTCATTGAAGATCATCGCTGTTGCGATTTGAAGCACACACTGATTGTGAACGATTGGAGCTTTGTCTGCAATGTAGCTTTCACATCCATTTTGTGAGTTTTGCACAGCTCGTATTTCGTTGTTCGGTGGTCGACTCCGTTGGCTGGAGTGTTGCTGTGATCGACCTGGTAGTGGCGGTTGCTTTGCCAGATTTGCAGGTCGGCGTGTTAATGCAATATATCCATTGTCTTGCTTCTTTGCATCTGAGAGGCAGAGAGATCCATGATGTGAGTCTTTGCACTTAGGGCACACTCCAGTATTCGTACAATCCTTCGAGTTGTGATTCTTGGTGAAACACCTCCAGCACACCCTTTGACTTCTTGCTTCAAGGCGTCGGGCTTCCGGTGTGGTAAACCTCTGACAGATGTAAGAAGAATGTGGTTGTCCACATAAACACAAGCGTTTTGGTTTAGAGAGCTGTCTTTCCTCTTCCCATTTCGTCCTGTTGCTCCTTCCATTTTGCTGAGTGTCTTGGCGGTAACTGGTTGGGAAGAGAGTTTCCGTTGTAAGCGAAGTGGTTTCCCGCAGTGAGATAATGCCATCGATAGCATCAAGGATTTTGTTAACATCGAAGGGTTTATCTTCTAACGCTTCTTTTTGGATGGCGGTCGTACAAAAAGACTCGGGAAATTTGGAGAAGATTATTCGACGCCAAACTCTGTCTGCATTGAGCTTCATTCCCGTCTGTTCTAGATGAATGATCCTTGTGTTGATTGCTTCAAAGGTGTCCCGGCAGCTCTTCGGATTGTCTGACGCCCTCGGAAGTTTTTCGATCTCATTTATGAGTATGTCTGCCATGTTGGCAGACCGATCGAAATGTTTCTTCAAGGATCTCTATCGCTTTTTGGTATTTCTCTCCAACAACGGGTATGCAGCTCAAGGTGGCTGCTGCTTTCCCCTTCAGTGCTTGCTTTAGAAAGAGGAACTTGTCAGTGTCGGATAGGTCTTCGTCGGCATGGATGAGAGATTCAAACACTGTCCAGAAGCTGTTGAACTCTCTGAAGTTCCCTGAGAAGGTAGGGATTTCGAGCAGAGGCTTCCGGATTTTTATTTGCCTTTCGTTGCGCTCTGGGAGGCTGCCGTTCCAGGTCTGGCCTTCGTCGCTGGCTGCATGACTTGATGTGCTTGGCAGACTGGTATGCAATAATGCAGCTTGATCCTTCAATTCGTTTTGACGGAACTGAACTTTGTTCTGCCACTGCACGACCTTGACTTCCAAATGAAGAGATTCCAACTCCAAGTGTTTGCTGAGTTCTGTCATAAGCTTGTCTCTCTCTTTTTCTTCATTTCGTGCTCCAATGTATTCGATCGCGGCGTTCACTTGTGTGTCTTGAAGTTTAACCGCATTTTGCAGAGAGTTGAGCAAATGCGTTATCTCTCCCATTTTGGTTTTGATGTACGTCTCGCATTCAGTCCTTTCTACCGGAAAAGTGAATGGTGTGTTTATTTCGTTCACTTCCGACTCGTATGACTTCACGAGTGCGCAGGCATTGTTGATTTTTGACTTAAAAATCTGAAGCGCTGCCATTTTTTGGTTTTCTGCACGGGGTAGGGTCGTGCACTGGTGTAGTGATTCCAAGCGTTCCAATTCGGACGTGTGTGTCCTCCTTTTGTTGGTCGCTTTGGCTTGAGGGCGGCAGCAGGGCTGGCCTCGATACGATAGCTGTCCTTACTGGTTGCAAGGAAGCTTTCTAGTGAGCTGGCAATGGAGTGCCGAGCGTCTACTAGCTGTCAGCAAGCGCGCCTGGTTGGCTTGTGCGCTGTACTGGACGGTAAGGTGTTGGAACCTGTCCCGTGAATGTAACGATCCAAAGCTCAAGATCGGTGAACCAACCGTGAATGAGCTTGGAAAGTTGAGATTTCTTTGCTAACTGTGGATGGACCAGTCAGTCAGCTAGAAACCTCTTTGCTAAGCTATGGATATGACCTGATAGCTTCGCAAGATGAAACTCGTTGTGAAGGTGGATGGACCAGCAATCACAGAGTGTTTTTGGCTACGGAAGCCAAAATAGTTCGAGGATTTCTGTTGCTAACTGTGGATGAACCAGTCAGTCAGCTAGAAAAAACCTCTTTGCTAGGCTATAGGTATGACCTGATAGCTTCGCAAGATGACTCTTGTTGTGAAAGTGGATGGACCAGGAATCACAGAGTCTTTTTGGCTAATGGAAGCCAAAAAAGTTCGAGGATTTCTTTTACTAACTGTGGATGAACCAGTCAATTAGTTAGAAAACCTCTGCTAAGCTATGGATAGGACCTGATAGCTTAGCAAGACTCGTATTAGTAAAAGTGGATGAACCAGCAATTATTAGAGTCGAATATTGGCTAATTAGTAGCCTAGAGTGCGAGGAGTCTGTCGCTAACTGTGGATGAACCAGTCAGTCAGCTAGAAACCTCTATTAAGCTGTGGATAGGACCTGACAGCTTAGTAAGACTCTTGGTCGCGAAAGTGGATGAACCAGCAATCACGAGAGTCGAATAGTTGGCAATAGAGCCTGCCACGCGGGTCTTAGGCCTTGATTTCCTGGGTCCTTAGAAGGAATCGCCGAGGAAATACAAGGAAAATCACTGGCCGATGCACCAATTTGGTGGGTACCAAGTGATTTGGGGTAGACGAGGTTGTGGAATATAGATTTATTCGCACGGGCGTAGATTAGTCGTGAAGAAGAGTCTATAATACAGTCGGGGGCTCCTTATATACATGGATACAAGGCGGAGCTTGCCCGGGTACAAAGTACAACGTAGAAGAGGTACATGGCTTAAAAGGAGTTGCCGCCGTTCGGCCACACTCCTGGTGCACAGGTGACAATCATTCTTGAGTGATTAGATACTCAAGAATGGATGGCGTACAATTGAGCCTATGGGGATCCCATAGGCGATATGGAAAAATGAATTGATTAGGTTGATGTTATGGAAATCATCAACACAGCTCCTTACTAGAATTTCGCGTTATGCCGAAAAAATCTTGAGAAGTATCGCGTGGCTGACGTTTTTTTTTTTGAAAAATTTATTTGCCCTCTCCCCTCCCCCAAACGGAAATTTTGGGGGAGCTACTGGTACAATGTCCTTTGACAGAACAGTGCTAGTGTTCCGATTACTATTTGCACAGCGGTGCGGTAAAGGAAGATGTCTGAAAGCTGGTCCACATCGCGTGAAGAAGATGAACAGTATTTTTCTTACACCCTTCTCCTGCACTGCGTTTGATTGGATGCTCTGTGGCAGATACAAATATCCGTCAAAGTGAGACGAATATGAAAATATTTCCCGGAGTAATGCGAGCACCTGTTCATTCTGCAGCTTATGCGTGTCCTCACGTACTTTTCCCCATAGAAGGAAGTATGACCACAGTTCCAGTCCAGGACGTGGAGGCAGAAGTATTAGGGTGATCACCAAAAAAATGGGACAGCTTGATTTTTTGTCAAAATTTGAGATTTTTTGTTTCGATCAACAACAAGCAGGCTGCAAGTAAACGTCGCTTATATAAGCGACTTTCGCCTATTATTCTGGCAAAACGTCAACGCTCCTCTCCCACAATCCTACGCGTGGCGCCTTAAAGAACTCGAACGGGGTTTTTTGAACATCGCTCATTCTTGCCCTGCCATACCGTGAGGTTATAGAGCAATTGATATACCATTCGAAAGAGCTCTTCATGCTCTTTCAAATAGTATATGAAACATACAAAATTTCTTTCTATTTCTGGGTGAAAAAAGCGAAATACCTGGAAAATCGCGATTTTTTGGCGCAACAAAAACCAGTAAATCAAGTTTCAATCTGTATTTTCCGAAGATAGAGAAAATGTGAGGTAAACTGCATATGGATGGATAGAGCATAAAAAACTCTTTCAGATGGTACCTATAGAACATGCGTTCACATGCAAAGCATTGAATAGCACGTATTTTTGTTCTCAAAGCTGCTAATGGCCGTATCTCCTGAATTTGAAAGTTTACACCAGCAACCCATCGTGGGTCTGGTGACTGTACCTTCACGCATTGCAGCAGTAGTACATTCGATGGTTTCGCATGTTTCACTGCGCAGATACTGCTCGAAGTTTATAATTTGTTAAAGTAACTAACTTTGCATTTCAGCCACTATAAAAATTATTAGTTATGTAAATGACCTTATATAGGTATTTTCTGAAAGAGAATAATCTATTCTAACATCTATCAAAACTGGGAAGTTTAATCATTTTTCTTTTTTGAGAAATCTACATTTATTCTCTAGGTGTCCCATTTTTTAGTGATCACCCTAATATATAATTCAATTGAGAGTTACCATCACCTAAGTGTCTTACTATGTTCGCACATCCCTACTTAGTGCCAAGAATATGTAGAGGGCTCTAAGGTTGACTAGCTCGCATCAGTGCTGGTAATTATCTTCGATAAAGAGGGGATGGTAGAGGAAGAACTTGCGAATGTAAACCTGTGTAACAATTTAGTTCAAGCGAAGCATTCACTAGAAACAGAATGAAAAAAAAAAACAGAACAGAATCTGAATGTACTCAATTCATAAGACTCCCTCCCCTTGTTTTCATCAGACCTTTCTTTAAATTCCCACAGTGAAGTTGTCTACCAGATAAACAGCTACTAGATAGTCATGTTTTTAGCCATTTTCTGTAAGGCCTCGGGCATACCTCACGCGATTTCAGTCGCGACGCGATTTGGCAATACTCTAAATGTTCATAACTCATCGTACGGGGTTTCTGAATGTACGGAAGATGGAGCATTTTATCAACCTACGAAAATGATACATGCTGTGCATTTGGGGTCTAACAGTATTGAATTTGAAGACATCTGGCGAATTGCCAGATCGCGTGGCGACTGAAATCGCATGAGGTATGCCCCTTGCCTGAGGGATGGGGAGCTACAATATTGGTTGAGTCAACTCTAGCTGCCAAACTGCTCTGAATCGAACTTTAAGGATGTTAAGATTACTTTTTACTTTCACATTTGCTAATCACTAAGAAACCTATGATTTTTACTTATGACTTCTGGGATTAGCTACGTAGTTCCCAAATCACTCTTCGTTCCATATCACTTCTCCTCACCGTAACCGAGAGACATGAAAATCCGATCCGAGAGGCTGTAAATCTCACGACTGTCAGTGTCATTTGGCACCTGCGCAACATGTGTCAGTTAGAGCAGAACATATGTAGACAGTCAACACTTTATTAATCTACGGAAATCGCGCATATAATGCGTCTCAACACGCATAGGAAATGGGGAAGAATCTAACAATATCACGCCCTGCTCAGATGTATACGGGGTTTTACTTGAGCTAGCTTCATGTTGCTAAATGTCCTATAATCGTAGAGACAGCAAAATACCCAACACTTGTAATCTAAAGAAGCTTTCGGGCCCTTGGGGGGGGGGGGGGAATTGAAGGAGTTCATTGGACGTTATCTCAATGCTCGTGATATTCCTAGGATTCTTCATTTGCACAATAGGCCCGCTGTTACAGGACGTGCAGGTGACAGCTTTTAATTAGGCAGGAAGTGTGCATGGGTGCAATCGTTGTGTAAACAATCAGAGGTAATATGGTGATTTAGGGATAAGTGGATCGCTTGCAGACGCTTGTCTTCATTAGAAGCTACACATGCGCTAAGCTTTATGCAAAGGTTTCAAGGGAAGGAATAAAGAAAAAAGGACGTCAAGTTGTAGAGATTCTCAATTTTTCCAAACACTACAAACACTAGACTTTTTTCAAGTTTCAATTGCAGTTTCATTTGCTACAAGCTCCTCTACATCGTGGCGTATATATTAATTTTATGGCAGCACGGGATCATTTTGCGATCTCCTTACTAATACCTTTCTTATAAAAAACCTGCGAAAAACTACCAATGAAAAGTGTACCAGTCATTTTTATTACCTTCATTCTTTTGTTTCAACAGATTTCTTAGTTTTTAATTGATGATGGTAAGATGTCCCATTCCGCGCGTAGCATTCTGTGATGAGGCCGGAAAAAATATCGAAATTGACAGACAGTCAAACATGTGCCATTGCCTAGATTAAGGCTTCTCCTATTACGGCGGCTTCCTTTGTGGCGGAGCTTCACCCAAACAACCATAATAAGTTAATTACAGTCGACGAATAGGAATAATCTTCAAATCATCCTCAATTGCTTCTGTCGCTCATGTTGGTCTTCACCGAACTGGGTCATGTAGCAAGGGTTACTGTAACCAAAAGCAACGAAGAGGAAGGTATTGCTAGTGGAGATATTCACACTCTTGTCTACTGCTAATGCTGCCAATAGAACTTAATTCTCTATATTTTTTGTGCAGACCTTTTTTGAACCGCGTTTGCTCAGAAAACAGTTGGATGTTTGTTTTCAACAAATAATATCATTAGAAGCACAGGAAGCAAAGGAACATATTGCACTCATAAGGCAAAAAATTAAGAACAAGTGTGAAATGATTTTTTTAGCAGTAAGTTAGGGTATTTAGGCGAAGTCAGTGTAAGTCTACCAGTGATAGTTGGGCTTGTAGATCCATCGAGACCGGGACTGCGCTTGGAAAAGCAGGTAAGTGCTTTCTTGACGTTTTCTGCCTTGGAGATTACTGAATGGGCTGAGAGATTTCCGTCAAAAACAGCGACTGGAGCGAAAAATTGCAACTCCACCCATATGTGAGGCAATTGACTGACCGGCTCAAGCACTCAGTCGCGACTCAGTTGGCGGGAATCGCTCGTACAGCCCCTCCAGCAATCTCCAAGGCCTGATAAAAAGCACCTTTCTGACTTCTCAAGCACAGCTTTGGACTAGTGCATCCAAAGGCCGAAGAGGGATGGTAAGCTCGCATTTGCAATCCCGAGCCTCTGCCTTTAATTCTTCTCATTCACAAAAACCACTATAGTTGCCTCAAAAATTTTCAACTTCACAGCTACATGCAGACCAGATTAGGTATCATTTGTGCAAATAAACATATTGGGAAAGCTTGTTGAAAACTAGAAAGAGAGATCACAGCTTATAGATATGTAATTGTACGCATGTTTAGAATCCGAGAACTCGCGATAAAGAACTTGCCCATGTGAGTTCCTGCAAACATCTTCCACATCAAAGAAATTATTGAACCCACAGTGATGATGAGCAGATTGGACCAGAGAAAAACGTTGAGCAGAGAGTGTTAGCTACAAACCTTTGCCCCTTCAGCGACTTCGGCGAACTCCTTATCAAACGAATCACACATTCGCACGAGTCGTCGAGCGATTTCCCGTAAGCGGTCGTTTGGTTTAGGAAGAGTGAAATAAGAACCTGGAACAAAATCTCTTAAAATGTAAGAGCACAGAGGCATCGGCGAGAAACAAGCAGATTTGGATGACTTTTAGATGAGTTAAACGTTAGCAATCAATATAAAAACACAAGTCTAAGCCCAGATTATGCAGAACAATGTCAATTGTAGGAGGAATCAAAAAGACCTACGACTTTCAAACAAAAGCTACCAAAGGTACTAAAGGGATAAAAAAACACCTGAGTTCCAGAATGTGTGGGTCCCAAATCGTAGCTTCCGCCGTACTTCCGAATTGACATCAGGCTTTAATAACTTTTCTGATGCAAACTGTAGCGACGATGGCGCAATTCCATCACACGGTGAATTGTATCCACTGTCACTTGGCAGGACGAGCATCTGGGAGAGAAAGTAAGATGGGTGCTGAATTATTCAGTACAGATTGTAAATCAAGGGTTAAAAATTATTTTAAACGATCTTTGCATGATTATAACGCATGAGATTAGCTAGCTTGCTTAGTGGGAGGAGCCACTGCAATCCAAGGACGGCAAAAGCCAGCAGTTGGAAGCAGTAAACAGCTGCTGGCTTTTGCCGTCCTTGGATTGCAGTGGCTCCTCCCACTAAGCCGCGCCCCCCCCCCCCCTTCCATGCCCTACCGTAAGGTTGGCAACGAGAATCGCACTTGTCTAGAACGCTACCATGCAACTAACTTTTGTAAGTAAATTTCGTGAACAATGACTTGCGCAGTGAAGTGCAGCCAGAAAACTTTTCTGTTCCATTCACGTAAAGTGGAAGAGGTCATTGAAAAAGACGTAAGCTTATTCAATACCAGGGTGTCCCAAAAAATGGCATAGCGTTTGATTGTTGATAACTCTCCTCTCATTGACTTTTTGGGGAAGCTTTAGGTGGCATTTTGTAGAGTTGGCTCTAACTTAGATTTGCAATATAGAATGAATTACTGTTATTGTCGTCATTGCTGTAGGATTATGGTGGAAAATTTGAAGATGGTTTTGCGGTTTGAGGGTCATATTTTACCTCTAAAAAAGGATTGAAGAAGCTGAAAACTCTTACATTAGGTTAATCAGGGTCGTCGATTTTAAGTATGAATCTCGCACTTCACCGTAGCGCTTCTCTCCTAAGTTATGCCAGATATAACGCAACGACCGATCTCTGGAATTCGTCAAAAATTTATTTAAGCCAGTCAAAATTTTCTACAAACACGCAGAAGGTCAGCGAAATCAGCATGCTTGAAAACTTTACAAAACTTTTGCACAACTAAAAAAACTGATACACAATTTTTCAGAATTTAAAATTTTTTCCAAACGGCCTTTTTCGCATTGACTCCATATGCTGCAAATTCCTACAGTAATGAAGATAGATCCTTAATTCGCTTCATATTGCAAATATAAGTTAAAGCCAGCTTTACAGAACGGTGCCAGCTTCCCGAAAGATTTCATTACAAGAGAATTATTAACAATCAAACAGTAGGCACATTTTTGGGACACCCTGTAGAAGAGATCTGAGAGATTATAATGCTGCGCTGCTTTCCCATGGAGCTGAGGTGACCTTGGGCGCTTCCTTTGTTTGACGCTATATTATGACTGCATTGAGTGTTTTCTGGAGCCGAGATGAGAGCTGTACAATACCGCTCACATTTTTTGAAAAATGGGAATGCATGGACATGTATGGACATGTACGGACAGAAAGACGCGAATGTATGGACATGTATGGACATGTACGGACATGTCCATACATGTATGGACATGTACGGACATGTCCATACATGTATGGACATGTCCGTACATGTCCATACATGTCCATACATTCGCGTCTATTTTTCAAAATATGTGAGCGGTATTGTATAAGGCTGAGTACGGTAACTTCCATCTATCAATGCAACATAAACGCGCAGGCTCTGAGACCTTCCGGCAGCTATGGATTGGCAATGCTTTCTGATCTTTTCTGCGGTTACAGTGACTTCAAAACGTAGCCTTAATTGTTGAAGAGTTTGAAAAATAACCGACTTTTCTTAAGACGACAAGATCAGTTGATTCCTAAAGCTTCAATGTCCACAAAAAAGCCATAAAAATTTGGCGACGACCTTTATTTGATGCATGCCTTTGCGGGGAATCCGCGTGCGTAATAGCAATTTTCGTCCACGGCACTCGTCTTAAGAATAAATTAAAGCGGAATGCACTGCATAAACATTGCGCATCAAAATTGTTTGTTAAATCTTATACATAAAGCTGAATGTCTGTTTGTATGTCTGTCTGTCTGTCTGTCTGTATGTCTGTCTGTCTGTGTACGTATGTTCCGAATAGAAAATTCCATTTCTGAACCGATCGGGACCAAACTTGGCACACATACACTTCGGGCCCCGGCGGGTGCCACAGTCCACTTTTCGTTATCGATCGATATCGATTTTATCACCCCCACGGGGGTGATCTTTGATGTGTCAGAGCTTAGCAGGTTAATTATTTACACCTCATTAGTAGCGCTTTGATGAAGCGGCTATTCAGAATTGCGCCATACGACCACACTACATGAAGCAAATTGTTGATTGTTGGTAAAGGATAGGTGAGCCTTACGTTAACTACATACTGTTGGAAATAGCAGAAATTTTCGCGAAAGGTAGCGTACAGAAGGAGGAATTCTTCAAAGCATCGTTATGTAAGGCAATTCTGACCTTTTACAAAATACAAGGAATGTTGCCAAAATTTCGAACTCGGCTAGCCAGCAACGGATTACAGCTGTGTTTGTGCTTGGTACCTGGTGGAGACTTAGACAATGATAGGATAACCACTAGACCTGTATTGTTTCAAGCACCTTCTGGGGTCAAAATTGCAAAGACAGGAAGGTTCGAGGAGAAATCGATCTGAAGCCAGTTTTCAACTAGCAGCACCTGTTAAAGGCAGTGTCCGGGCAAGAAGTCGATTTTGAGATTTTGTGCTTACTGGGGCCTATTCGCTACGCTGAATCGGAAAATCCACATTGGAGAGCGCGAAAACGGTGAAAAACGGCTCTAATATGGGAGGGAAATCAGCAGGTGGGCGGGGTCCTCCCCACTGTGAATTGACGCTCCCAGCTCCCAGAGCGATCTTCTCAGTCCCGATTTCAAGTCATGCATTTGCACTTGGACTGTGGAGATCCCAGGGCGCTAGCGGAATTGATAAATTGCTTGAGAAGCTGGGACCGTGAAATTCACAGTGGGGAAGACCCCGCCCACTTTTGATTTTCCTCCTGTGTTAGAGCCCTTTTTCGCCATTTTCGCGCTTTCCAATGTGGATTTTCGAAGTCAGCATGGCGAATAGGCCCGGGTAAGCACAAAATCTCAAAATCGAGTTTTTGCCCGGACACTGCCTTTAAAGAGGAAGAAAGTACGCTGAATTCAACAAAGGGATTTATTGCAAATAGTATCATAGACTACTATGCCGTACCTATCGTGGGATTAGCGAGATTGTTGAGAAAAAAAAGAAAGAAAAACAGAGAAAAACTCTGCAGATCTTGAATCATTCCAGTAAACGTTCGAATACTATAACACAGACAAAAAGTGCAGTATGGTAAAGTTCCAATGACTGTAGCATGGCAAGTGATGTTTAGTCCAGGAAAGGGCTCCCTTTGAGAACTTTTCAATTATCAATTATTCGCCCAGAAAATCCCGCACTCGCTCATTTTGCCTTCGGAGATCCGCGATATTGTTCTACAGTAAATAGGGTGATTTTTGCCGACTACTTTCTTACAAAATTGATAAAGATACTGGGAAGTTGCAGCTGCTCCCAACAATACGCACGGGTTGTGCGGGGAGCATATCAGATTCTGCTACATATTTTGGTAATAGTGCACAAAAACTGTCAAGAGTTTGCAAATGATTACTCTTTACTCTCTCATCATTAGTTAAATTACTTTCATGTGAACTCATGACCTGCTAACAAATGGTCAACGATTTGCCATTACTACGGACGGTGTCAGTTTTCCAAACACATTGTTGAACTTCGTAATAAGCAGCTATGTGACTGACGCAACTCCACCAGCAGTATGCCAATCCGTAATCGGAAACTCTGACAAGGGAGGTGTTTTCGGTCGAAGTGGCCTTTTCACATGAAATTGATACGACTATAAAGAGCATCAAACGCTGATTCCAAATCTGCCTTCGTTATCTGCCGAGCGCCTCTAGACGTCGAGTTAGGAGCGTTTTTTGAGTTGAGAAATCAAATGCATAATTAGGACAATATTCGTCAGAATTGCTCAAATGGACCAATGTTGATTATCAAAGTACTTTATTTGAACAATATCTTCTATCCAAAGCACTCATACTTAACACTGCTCTATTTGAGTGCTGAGAAGACCGTAAAATTTTATTTTACTTGGATTATGCGTTCATTTTTCGCACCAAGAAAATATTCATAACTCGACGTTTGGAGGACCATTTGAGCAATTCTGACGAATATTGTCCTAATTATGCATTTGATTTCTCAACTCAAAAAACGCTCATAACTCGACGTCTAGAGGCGCTCGGCAGATAACAAAGACAGATTTGGAATCAGCTTTTGATGCTTTTTATAGTCGTATCAATTTCATGTGAAAAGGCCACTTCGACCGAAAACACCTCCCTTGTGAGAAATACGGTGTCGCAGTACAGGCCATCGAACGAACAACGGACGGTATACACGTCTATATAAAGGGTGTCCCAAAAGTAAGTACATACCTTTCAATCGCTAGTTCTCTTATTCTTGCGTCTTTTTTCGCCGTTCAAGTACCATTCTGTAGTGGAGGCTTCAACTTAGATTAACAGTATCGAGCGAATCACCTACCTCCCTTTGTTACTGTAGGATTACTGTAGAAACTTCGACAAGGGTTTTAGGCCACTGGAAGCCATACTCTGCCTCGGAACAATACCAAACAAGCCAAAGACTCTTATACTAAGGTGATGGAAGCCGTTGATTTCAAATATGAAATTTCCACTTTACTGTGGTGCTTTTTTCAAAGTTATCCCAGGTAAACCGTAATAACCGAATTCTCAGTATTTGTCAGAAATGTGATTACACCGCCAAAACAGCTGAAAACACTCATAAAAAATTGTATATTAAAATTAGTATGTGGATTTTTGGGGAAGATTTTGTCAGGTGGCATATTTCACAACGGTTCCACTTGCTGGAATTTCTTACCGTAATCCTACAGTAACGAAGGGCGATCGGTGATTCACTCGATACTACAACTCCACTCTAAGTTGGAACCTCTTTTACAGAAGTACTTGATTGGCAAAAAAGACCCATTGGGAAAAGAGAAATTGACGACTGAAAAGTGTATACTTACTTTTGGGACATCCTGTATAAAGGGAGTTGCCCTTTCTTGCTATCAACCTCGTGTTTCACACATGCACTCATCATCTTCTCAAGTCT